TAGATTGGCGCTTAGCGTTTGGCCGAGCTTCTCCTCCGACTCGTGGAACCAATATAACCTAACCTAACCTTTTTTTGTATCCGTCAACGGCTGTGTACGTTTGATGAATTTTGGGCTTGGGTTCGTTGGAACATGTCTCTGAAATAAAAGGTGTCTTCCACCAGAATGCCAATACTTCATTATGCCTCCCATATTCCTGAAGAAATTGGTGATAAGAGAAGAAGTGATGATAAAAGAAACCAAAGGCTATAACTCTTACAACAAATACAAAGTTGGTGTTGGAGCAATGGACCAAAAACTTTGTCGATATAGTTACAAAAAGGTTAGCTTCGGCATTTTTATATCCCAGCGCACTTGTGCACAAGGGTATTATAACTTTGTTTGTAACAGGCAAAACGAATCTAGAGAGATATAGACAAATGAATACATAAATGATCAGAATGAAAAGAGAAATCAATTAAGCGGCGACTGTCTGTCCGTCCGTCCGTCTGTGCACACGATAACTTGAGTAAAAATTGAGATATCTTAACGAAACTTGGTACGTGCACTTCTTTCGGACGTAGGACGGATGGTATTGAAAATGGACAAAATCGGACAATAACCACGCCTACCTCCCATATAACGGTAATTTTCAGAAATACGAAAACAGCGATATTTTAGTAACTGCTGAAGATTATTCACTCAAAATTTATATTTACAATAATTTTTAGACGAAAAATAAGAATATTATAAATTTTTGGAAAATGGGCGTAGCCACGCCCACTTATGGTTACATGTGTATATCTTGGTAACCGCTGCACCAATTTTTTCCAAACTTGGCACGGTTGTTACCCTTGCTATAGCATACCAAATGGCCGAAAATAACCACGCTCACATCTCATATAACGGTCATTTGGAGAAATACGAAATCTTTGATAAATCAGTAAATATTAAAGGTAATTTATTCAAAATTGAAAAAACCTTTTTTTCTAAATTTTTGGCTATGGTGCTTTGACCAGGGCTTGAACCCAGGTGCTGAGGAGTGGAAGCGCCCACTGCTTACCACTACACCACCATCAAAATTGATGCTTGCAACAATTGAGAAAGCTTCTATTGAAGAGCAAGCTCACCAGGATATTTTGCAATGCTTTGGGGAAATCACCAACGGCTCTGTTGCTGATTCCAGTTTTTTAGTGATGTTGATAGCCAAACGATGGATAGACAAAGCAGCGACCGTACAAGAAAAAAGGTAGGAATTTAGAAATGGGGCTCCGGGCACAATAGACCTATTGGTCGCAGTGCTTACCCCTACTCATCTATCTAGAAATGGAGAAATATTTACAGCTACCCCTTATACTCAGACAAGAAGATCCTTTAATTTGGTGGAAGCATAGTCGCAAAGAATTTCCAAATTTGTTTACTCTGGCAATGAATTATCTCTGCACGCTACCTTCCTCAGTAAACTCAAAAAGACTTTTTAGTGCATCGGGTAGCATTAATGTTGAAAATAGAAATAGGTGTTGGCCGATAATGAGGAAATGCTTCTTTTCATAATGAAAAATATATACATTTTTAGCTATAATGGTTAATTATATACATAATATTAAATTTAATTACAATTAAAAAAAAAAAACTTCTGAACTAGATTTTTAAATTGAATTTTCTATAATGGAAAGCAGAAAATTTTCAGAATTTAGCCAGTATCCGGCCGGATAGTCGGATAACAGAAAAACGGCCGGATAAGCCGGGTTCCGAATATCTACCTGATACCCGACACATCCCTACTTCCAACAATTTGCCAGTAAGAAAAACAGTTGATCGCTTGATGATGAAAGCAATTCAAACTAATAAAGGAATTATTTATGGGGTTCTTACAGTTGAAATTGACAAAATAAACTAATTTAACTATATGTATAATAACATAGGACATACCATTTTTATTCGAAAATTGCTGTGAATAAACAGCGAATTTGGTTTGGAGACAAACCGGTGTCAGTGTTGTACCCAGCGATGCCAACCGGGAACAATTCCCCGATTTTGATGGAATTTGATTTGCTCGGAGGAATCGGGTAATGGCTTTCAATTTCTGGGGAATTCATTATACAAACGATTTTTATAAAAACATTTCTATTGAGAATAAAATTCTAACTAATGTCTCATTACGGTGTTAAAGTGTGTTTGCATTGTTCAACTTTGCGTTCAACATTTGCGTTCAACTCAGCGCAGGGTTGCACGAATTATTATTAAAATTCGTCCTTATTATCTCAATATATTCAAGATATTTCTGTTTTTTTTTTTGTTGTTTGTCTTGTTTTATAGTTTTTTGGGGGAATACCATTGAAAATAGGGGTATTTTTTCAGGAATTTTGAGAAATTCGCCTCAAACGAGTTGGCGTCGCTGATTATGCGTTTGGGCTGTTTCACACTAGAATGATAGAACAATTATTCTCACGGTTTCACACTGGATGAAAAGTAGCAGAACAGCATAACAAAATGTGTATACGTATAGGACGTTTGAATGGATTTGTAACTTTGCGCTTGAAATTTACGTAGCGGCATATTTGTAGTTGCGTACGTAATAGTGCGCTGCAGCAAAACTGCCACTGGAACAACTTTTTGAGAAACTTTACCTCACCGCACTGCCTCTCTTGCCAACAAACACAGTTGTTCTGGTGGCAGAAATGTTCCAGTGTGAAACCGACCTTTGACAAGAGATGATGGAGAATCGTTCCATAATACATCATACTTCTACGCTGTCGGAAACACCAACAACGAAAATGAGAACAAATTTATCAGCTGTTCATGAAACTCGCAAATTCTTACTTGTATTTGGATATTTTCCTCTTTGAGGGCGAATGATTTCGAACTCTCGGGCAAGAAAATTTTGCCCTTCCACGATGCAAAATATGTTTGCTGTTACACACAATCCTGTGAAAGGGCATGTTTTTGCCTCCTTGTCCTTGTTTAGCTCACGCCTTTAATAATATTGTCGTTTAAAGCAACCTTCTCCCCTGACAAAGCTTCAAAGGGCAGAGAATGTGTCATTTTAAGAAACGAACACAAAATTTTCTTCTGTTTCGTTGTTGGTGTTTCCGACAGGGTAGGAGTGTAATGTAATGTGGAACGATTTTCCGTCATCTCTTGTCCCAAATTTGGTTTGGAGACAAACCGGTTTCGGTGTTGTGCCATCTTCAGTGTCATTTTTCGTTCTGAATAGTTTCTGTTTGTCTGTCTGTTAGGTACGTCTCAGCGGATTATATTCCTTCATTCAACCAGTAGTTTCAGTTCTGTGTGTACATCCCAGGGTTGCCAGATTTTGAAACGGAGAAAGGAGTACATTTATATTTTCGATAGAAAAAAGCAGGACATGGCATAAAAAAGGAGTACAATAAGTAACCGACGAAGACTTGAGCTTTTCTCCCAAAGTGTTTAACGCCGGTAAACCCAAATGAAGGTTAAAATTTAAAAACAAATTAATAAAATTGAAGTAAAATCTGTGGATAATTAACAATAAACTACTTTTTAGCAAAATCTATAAAAAAAAACTGTGCAACAGATATTATATTACAAAATATTAATAGCTGGTAAAAGGACTACAAAAGAAGTACAAAGCTAATAAAGGAGTACATTTCCATATATTTTTTTTTTTTGAGTACAAGGGAGTACATTGCAATAAAAAGGAGTACGTTTACTCCCAAAAGCAGTACGTCTGGTAACCCTAGTACATCCTCAGGTAGAAATTAGCTGCTCACCTCTTTTTTGATTAATTCGAAAAATGACACTGAAGATGGCACAACGCCGAAACCGGTTTGTCTCCAAACCAAATTTGACAAGGGATGACGGAAAATCGTTCCACATTACATCACAAAATTTTCTCCCCGTTTGCCTTTGTTTTAGAATCGAACACAACAAAAAAGGTGGCCATCAAAAGGCAAGATTTTTTGGTAGACACGAAAACACCATAAGTGACTGGATAATTTATAAAATATTTGATTGTCATTCTCGTCATTCAAAATAATTTAAAAAAATCACTGAGTAAATTTGTATCATTTATTAGAAAATGTTTTCATTGCGTAAAACATGCGTTTATAAAACTGTTTACAAACTATTGGTTATTTGAGCATTGTAAATAGTGCTCCTGATTTTTTAAATATTACTCGGACGGAATAGTTTGGGTTTCAATTTAACCTAAAATTGTTATGTGAACTTACTATGCATGCGTATAAAAGTATAAATTTGTTTTTAAAAAGGCACTTTTTAAAAATTACGATATGTTGCCGTAAGTTTGTACTAATTCTTAATGTGATTCCTCTTATCGCGGAATTTAGTTGCTAGATTAATTGTGCAGTTTTTTATAGAAGTAGTATTCGAGTTAGCAATTATTTTTAATGACATCAAAACTTTTCACACCGACCATATATTGCCTTGATTCACTTGATAAAATATACGGCAGAAGTTTCCACATATTTGAGTCATGACAATAACGAGTTCAGTATGAAGGAACCTTACCTAGGCGTAGCTGATCTCATGCTCATAGCTCTTTCCGTCCCATTCGTGATTATCGGGAAGCGCATGATGACGCAAACCACAAAGACGCGGTCCAAATCGTAAAATTACAATAATAACACCGATAATGAAGAGAGCAAGAGCAGCTACGGCTGGATAAAGCAAGATAAATGCCATTCTTTTTTTCTTTTGCAAAAGTGCTTTAAATGTCGTATTGTTAATTGGTTTTAAATGTCGCTTTCGCGCTTTTGTAGCTCTACGTATTCCTCTCGTTGTTGTTGTTGCTGCAAAGTGCGACCTTCAGGACGTGGTGGGCGCTGCTGTTGCAACTGATGCGAATGTGGTTCAATATGCGAAGAAGACTGATGAACGGGCACTTCCTGCGCTTCAATGTCTTCACGAAATATTTGTGGTTTTGGCTAAAAAATAAAAATAATGAAATATTAACTGAAAATGATGATGATTTGCTTTTTTGGCGAAGTTAAATAGTTTTAAACGATTTCATGACGCGCAACCAACAAAAAATTTGCCCGTAAACCTAAGATAAAACGCCTAATTAAAACAATACTACAAGTTTAGAGCAGATCTTAAATTTTAATAAATCATTTCATTTCACTTCTTTATTAAGTCTATGGTTACAAACCTTACAGACTAGAGGTACAACATCAGCTCTAAAGATAAAGCTTACAAACTAAACTACATAATTAGAGATAATTGGATTCAAGCTTTGATAAAAATGGGGATCTAGGAAGAGCGAAATCTAAATCGAGGCTACTAAATAAGCTCAGTAAGGGCCCTTATAATAGGGGCGAAATTTAAGTAATTAGATTTGGCAGTTTTCACATGAAACGGACAACGAAAGCAACGGAGGGGGCTACGAAAGGTTGTGATTTAATATTATCAATTTCTACATATAATATTTTCGACTTTAACAGTAAATTTAAATGCCGAGATGTGCAGCCACTTCTTCTTAACACCTACATCGAGCTCAGTTGGCACATTACGCCCAACAACAAATTTCTTGGGCTTAACCGTTTTTTTTATTTTTATTTTCCACTGTAGTCCACTTAGAGAGTTCGGGTGGGGGAGCATAAGCGCCGCAGCATCAGTTGATTATTTAAAGCAGAACCAGAAATATTTTGATCGTCAGCGGTATCACCATTTGAGACGAGAGCAGCAGCAGATTGAGCAGACGTGGATGGCAAAGAGAGAGCACCATCCGAAAGAGTACCAGTATCAACATCAGCTATTGAAGCAAGAGTACCAGCATCAACATCAACAAACACATTCGGAGCAAGAGCGGTAGCAGAAGACATATCACCAGAGGGAGCATCAACAGCGGCAGCAACAACATCATTAGCTGGGCAGGTCTGTTAGCTGGGCAATGTCATTCGTGTTATAAGTAATATTTTTTTGATAACGAAGATTGTAGGCACTATTGGTAGACTTGGCAGTTGATTCTCGCTTACTCTCACGCGAACACGTATTTGGGCTGACAGCATTAGCTGGAATCGTTTGACAACTGTTACTGCGCGAAAGCTCAGCGAATTTGCACTTCAACAAAGTTAGCTCTTTGGATAAGAGAGAGATCATAGCAATGAGATTTACTGATACTTTCAAGCAGTTATTGCAGATAAAAACAATGCATTTGATTAAAATATCAGAAGAATCAAGAAATTCTAAATTTGCACAAGTTTTATGATATTTTGATTGGCAAAATTTACACGATACAGCAGATCCGATATTAATAAACCTGCTGCAATGCGAGCAAATATTGTTCTTTTGCGATAGCATAGTCAAAAAGATAATTAAAACGGAGCGAACATAAACACGTCTGAGCGCACTGCTTATCACCAACTACGTATTCTTATGTAGATACATTATTTTGGCGACGGCAGAACTACACCACAACTGGGATTGTGGAACTGCTATTTCCAGATTTTAAATTTTAATGAATCATAGAACCAGATTTTTATTAAAATAGGACACTACTGTGCTATACACATGAAATGAAAAAATTAAATAAGACTGTTTTAAGAAATACATCGTTATTTTGCAATATGTAGTGCCGCTGCGATTCAGATTGGCGGCTTGCAAAAGAACGATGTTGCTTGCGTATGCAAAGGGACTTAACCGCAGCATTTTCCAGTTTAGATAAAGAAACTAAAAAGGTTGGTCTAGCGGTGAATGCAGACAAGAAAAAGCAACATATAAAGAATCCAGACGTTGCGGGACACTGTTGGCAGCTATAACTTTGAAGGAGTGAAGGACTTTGCCTACCTGGCATCCAGTATAAACATCACCAACAACGTCAGCCTGGAAATCAAACGAAGAATAACTATTGCCAACAGATGCTACTTTGGGCTCGGTAGACAATTGAAGAGTAGAGCCCCCTCTCGACGAGAGCAAATTACGCTCTACAAGTCTCTCGTCATACCCGTTCTTCTATATGGCACAGAAACGTGGACTATGTCTCCTGGAGGATGGTTTCGTGCAAAGAACACGTATCCTCTGGGTAGCAACCAAACACCCGTTTGGGAGCGAGCTAAAGTGAGAAGGCGTAAAACTTCGCGTGCGCTGGGTTTGGGTCCCGCCACGTTGAAGTCCCCCCCAATGAAAAAGTTCAGAAAGCCTCGGATGAGACCCCTTTTTTTTGACGAAATTCCTCTCTCGTCGTACAAAGACCACACTCTATAAGCCACTCAATATGCCTGTGCTGGTGTATGACGCGGAGGCATGGACAATGAAAACATATGTATGATGAAGCGGCTCTTGGAGTTTTCAAGAGAAAGGTTCTGGGAAAGATTTACGGACCTTTACGCGTTGGCGATGGCGAATACCGCAGACGATTTAACGATGAGCTGTTTCAGCTTTACAACGATAAAGACATAGTGCAGCGAATTAAAATTCAGCGGCTCCGCTGACTTGGCCATGTCGTTCGAATGGACAGAAACGCTCCTGGGCCGCGATGCTGGTAACAGAGGAAGAGGAAGGCCTTCTCTGCGTTGGAAAGACCAGGTGGAGAAGGACTTGGCTTCACTTGGCATTTCCAATTGTTGTTAGTTGGCACAGAGGAGAAATTACTGGCGTGCTGTTTTGGACCCGGCCAAAATCGCTTAGGCGGTTACAGCGCCAATAAAGAGAGAAGAAGCAGATGGAATGACGAATGATTAGCACATAAAAATACAGCGATAAGGATGGCTTGGACATGTTGTACACATTAATGACGACGCTCCGGTGAAAACATCCTTCGACTCCGCACCCATGGGTGGACAGCGAAAGCAAGGGCGCCCACGAACAAAATGGAAGGACCTGTCTGCACACGGGATTAGCAAATACGCACAGGAGAGAGGCAATTGGAGAAGCTTTGTGGGCCCTGCACAAACCGACAAACGATTGTAGTGTCAAATTAGAAGAAGAATTAGGAAATAAATAGGAGTATTTTAATAAGTTCACCCAGTACCAGTGACTGTTTTTTGTTTTTTTAAGGTACAGCTCTTTTAGGGAGTTCATTAGGGGTTTGTATACTGTCGGTATAGTTGTATATCGCAAAACCGCCTATCTTACGGCACTCAAATTTAACAAGAGAGCGAAAAAACTGTTTTTCTTTGCAGGCAGTGCCTTGATAGGCGCTATATTCTCAGCTATTATTTTATAAATCTGGTTTTCATAACGATTGTACGATTGATGCATAAATCTCGATGCCTGTAGTTCGGGGAAACCAAATCTCATTTTTTCCACAGCGGCAATTTAGGCGGTTTTGCATCTGGTCGATGGGCTGTTTTGCAAAAACATCGACGATATGAAGGGCGTTCGCAAGGTATCATAAAGGTCATATTTTGAATCTTTACAGTTTTAACAAATAGTTGGTTAGTCCTCTAAGCTTTTACTGTTTACTGCATACAACAATGCTGCAGTATCCCACTCGGAAAATATGTAAGCACTTTTCGACGTAATCCACGTTTTCTTTCAGCTTTTAGTACCAAAATTATCAACATGATCAATGTCAACTACTAGTAAAGCACGAAATGAACACCTCGGATGACGTCTTACCTAGTTATGTCCTAGCGCCGAATTACTCCGAGAGACTGCTTTACATTCTACGTACCTTACTTTGTAAAGCGGCTCAAAAGTATGTGTGATACCAAATGTTCAAATGTAGTAAAATGCAAAAAAAAATAAACACATCCAATGAGCTGTTCGTGAGTGATGGGGTTATGAAAACATAAAATAACTAATTTTTGTATATTACAGACAGATAGGATTATGGCTTATTAAAACACACTTAGTAAAATTTTTAAGCTCGTGTTATTTTTTTAAGTTTTCTGAAGGGAAAGTCTTATTCGATCAAAAAAAAGTGATGTTTAACGATTTTATAGCAATTCTACGATAATATGTATTTTCCCGTGTAAACTTCAAAGCACCGGCGGCACGGGTAAATATTAACCCATTTCAAAATAAGAAAATACGTGTCTCCTAATTGTTGATATTCTCTAGTTCTTGGGGGTGAGAGCAGGAAAAATCAAAATAGTTGATTTTCCTAGGTATTTTGGGCCACCCTATGTGCATACATACATATCGTTACCTTAATTCAGGAGAAGCAATACTAATTTGGTTTAGATCCCATCATGAATCATGAACAAATAAACGTTAATCTTAAATTTTTATATGAGAATTGAAGTCGGTTTTGTTGCTTTTTCCATTTTTCCTAATAAAATAATCTTGGTACAAAGCTCAATAACAATTTTAAAGTCGGTTTTGTTTTTTGCTTAAAAATTTAAATTGTTGTTAAAAATAAAATCATGCATGCAGCTAAGAATTTTTAAAAAGTTGCATAGTTCCGTTGTTTTTGGTACGAACACTCAAATTTTTAGTGAAGGTTTAAAAACGCAGGTTTGAAGTGAAATTAGGTAACGATATGTGCATATGTGCAATCTTACTTAGGAGCTATATAAAGTTAATAGGGCAATTCATCAAAACGCGTAAATGCCTCATAACCATGTAAACTTCGTAAACTTACTTCATTTTGTATGGGAAATTCGAACTATTTACGCGGTTACGTGGCATTGACGCGTTGCCATGAATACCCATAACAAAAATGAAGAATCTACATACATATCGCACACCATCTTCAAAAGTGGCACTACTCAAAATTTGGCATTTTGGAAATTATACACTAAAAATGTACACAGAGCTTGTATTGTTGAAGAAACCATACGATTAGCATGTGCAAAGAAATAGTTTTTCGCATTTTCTGACGAACGCGTTATTTTGAGTTGTGTCACTTTTGAAGATCGTGTGCGATATGTATATATTTTTTTCCTTAATCGGGCGTTTCTCATGTTATACTGGCCCGCGTAACTACATACATACGTATCTATGATGTTAAACAAAGTTTATGGAACGTAAACTTACGTAGAATCGTTCGAAATATGAGGCGTCCTTTAGCTCAGTAAAATCCAAAGGGGGCTGCAAGTGTGGCGTAGCTGACCAAATGGAAACCAACCAGCGATTACCTGTTAAAT